TATTAATATTGTAGACACGGCCGAAAGCGGTTATTAAAATTGTTAAAATGCGATACTAGAGGTGACTTACAAAATCACATTCATTGATTAGATAAATAAAAGTCGATGTGTGCTATGCCCGTTGCCTATGAGAGACATGACCATCCACCACTATTTTCCCCTTAAAACTAGTGGGAAAAACAACAAAACGAGCAGATATGTAATAAACGATTTGTCCAAAGGTACAACTTCCAAAATATCAATATGGCAATTTTGCAAAAGTTATAAATTATAATATATAGTTTTGGTAACGGGGGATCCGTGGGTAGGTGATGAGAAAACTTTAACGTAATAATTTATACAGTACTATATTAGGACTCGAGTATGTTAGTGCAAAAGAATCTGCTGAAACAACACGAACAGTGAAGTGGTCATGTATTCCACAGAAGATGGAAGGAATAATCAACAAACTAAGAAGAAAAGTCTTCTTGTGACTAGGCACGATAGGTGGCACCTCGAATTGGGAACCGCACTACCAGGAAGCTTACGCGAGAAGTTTGGTTCGCACTACCAGGAAGCTTACGCGAGAAGTTTGGTTCAGGAAACAAGGCATTCTGACACAAATGCACAAAGTCAAAGTGCAAGTGGGATTACTTTCCGTTAAGCAAAGATTGATGGGACCAGCTGTCCGACATCAACAGGAATAGTTCTGTTGCCCTTTCGGATTAAGGGGAGCTGTTTTTAGGGCCATAGGAGTTGCTAGTTGCTACTACTATAAAAGAAGGAGGAATAGCGCATAGGCCAGCTAGTTCTTCCGATATAGATCTTTGAAAAACTCAGAGGCAGTGAGAGCCATTTGATCTGTTTTGTTGAGTGAAAGAGATAGGTTTCGTAATTGTTGTTGCGTTACATTGGGTAGATTAGGAACATGTTCAGGAGCAAATCACGTGTGTGTGATGTCGCGTAACTCTGGGTAGAATAGATTGTAGAATCTGTTCTATAGAAGTGTGTGTGTAATCTATCTGTTGCAACAGCTGTGTCGTGTATCAGCATGTTGTACCCTGCGTGACAAGTAATAAAGATTCTGTATTTTTATTGCAACTATTTGTTTCGTTTACATATCTTTGTTCAAAGTATCTTGTGCTTTTTCAGAGTAAACACATTATATAGATAAATTACAAATTGCCTAAAAAGGTACAATTACTAGGAAAGGTCAAACAAAGAAGTTGTCTATTTATT